AATGGTTTTTTATTAAATTTTATTGCAATTGGTTCTTTTTATTTATTTTTAATTTAAAATTTAGGTTTTTTATAAAGCAACTGAAGAAATGTCAAAGTCAAAATTTATTACACTTTCATCTTCCATTCCAATATATAATGTTTTACTTGATCATTTAGAAAATCTTCTTGATAAAAATAATAAAGACCATTATTGCCCAATTCCGGAATTAAGATCTGCTATAAAAAAAGGATACGAAAAACTTCAAATATACTATTCTAAGACGGATGAATCAATTGTATACCCAATTGCAACAAGTAAAAATTAATTTTTAAATCTTATATTTATATTTTTGATGATAATTCAGATTATTACTTATTTATATGCATTTTATCATTTTTTAGTTCTGGATCCAAGAATAAAACTAAAATATTATAAACAACAAGAATGGGAAGAAAAGTATATTAATGAAGCAATAAAAATTATTAAGAAGCAGTATAATGAAAATTATCAAGATGATTCATTTAATAATGATCTTAGAGCTCAGAAAACTGATTCAAATAATTTTTTTAGTCTTTTTGAAATGGGTGATGATAATGATTCTTCTAATGAAGATGAATTAGAAGAGTATCTTCGTAAACCTGCAGTTAATTTTAAGACGGATCCACTACAATGGTGGAAAGTAAGTAAATTTTTTATAATTAATTTATTAGCATCTAATACTTTAAATTAATCTAAATGTAACTATATTATTATAGGCACACGAAGCTACTTATCCGCATCTGGCAAAGATGGCACGAGACTATTTAGCGATCCCAGGTAAGTATTTATTTGAATTTTTTATTTAACTTTTTCNTTTGGCAGTTTCAGCATTTATAATAAGTTTCGGCAGTTTCGCCTTTCTCCAAAGTTTCACCAGTTTTTTAATATAACTTTAATATAGTTTCAGCAAAATTTCGCTTTTCGGCGAAACGCCATCTTGCCTAAACCCCTAGGTTTCGGCAAGTAACCTTATTTGTAAGGAATCAGTTCTACCGTTTCTCTAAGTAATGTTTTGATAGATTTTTGAAACTTACTTAAAAAAAAACGTTTTTAGCTAAAAAACGATTTTTTTATATTTTTTTTATAGAAAATCAGTTCCGGTATGGATAACGATATTCCAGGTAAAATTTTGAAAAATTTTCGAAACTTTATTTTTTTTATTAAAAGAAATGGTTGACCAACCATTTCTTTACTTTTTTTGTAGGTTTTCCCTTCAGATTTTATCAGATCGGGTAAATTTCTTTCAAACCCAATTTTTTTATTTAAAAAATGAGTTATTGGCCATTTCCTCCTTTTTTTGGTAGTTTTCTTTGGACTTTTATCAGGTTAGGTGAGGATTATGGGTGGATGATAGATGGTGGATGGTAAATGGTGTATATAAATGATAGATAGATAATGATTTAATATGCAATTTTTAATAAAACGAATTAATAAAATTTAATCAATAAATTGTTATTATAAAAATTAAAATCAGCTAAATGTACAAAAATCGGTAATAATTATTAGGTTTATTAACAATTGTCAATTTGATTTTACCGATTTGTTGCTAATTTTACTGATCGATTTGTTGACGACAAGTGGCAGGCGTTACAGTGCAAATCGTTTATAAAATTAATTGCCGATTTTTTTGGTACTGATTGGCTAAGGTCAATTTCGTCCAACATTTGGCAATTTAAAATTTTGCCGAAATGGACTATTCTGACCAGTAAGATACTGGCTTCCTTTCTTTGGATTTGGATGGATAATAATTAAAACTTACATATTTTTTTTCTTTTTTAAATTTTTCTCTTCTTTTTGTAGGTATTATACTTTTAGCTTTAGGTCTTGGAATTGGTAAGTTTTAAGGTATCAGTTCAGACATTGGCGACTTTTCAGTAGGATTTTTTGATTGAAATAAATTGGTAAGTTTTGAAGCAATTTATTTCAAACTTTTTTTTAAGTTTTTTTTAATTTTATTTTTTTTTTGTCTATTTTGTAGGTATCATTGTAAGTATCATCGGTTTTTAGGTTGACTTTATTTTTCAGATAGCATTCGGATAGTAAATACTATAGTAATAAATTAGTAATAGATGTAAATTAAATTACATTTAAAAGAATAAAATATAAATTCAGAATTTAAATAATTAAAAATTGGCTAAAATTAGAACAAAATTCCTTCAACATTCAGCAATTCGAAATTTGGACGAAATGCATTATTATTTACATTCAAACTTGAGCAAAAGTTATTTTGAATGCTAACCAAACTTTGGTCAAAATTCTAAGCTGAACTTTAGGCAAGTGGCAGCGAACTGTAGCTAAAAAATCAGCTAAAGTTCATCTAGCTTTAGAATAAAATTTAGCCTAAAATCAGCTGGCCAAATTTTGGCCGATTTGGATTATTTTGTCCAGTGAATTGGATGTAATTATAGTCGTGATATAAAAAGGGAAAAAGAAAAAAGGAATAAAAAATATAAAAATTAAGTATAAAAGTGGAAAATGAACATGGAAATATCAAGTAAAGAATGTGGAAATGAGAAATGAATTAATGGAAATAAAATGTAATTTGGTTACCATATTGCCTTATCATATAAATTAAAATACATAACTTGAAATACCCTGTTTTGTACCAGTATTGATGATATTGTATAGTAATGTGATGCATATAAAAGATGACTATTCAAGTTACAAGAGAAATAAAACCAAGCATTATTTTTGGATATAGTCACAATTTGTGACAACAGATTATTGTTCAGTCTAGAGGATTCCGTGACAACGCAAAAGAAAAAATCAGTTTCATATAGGAATGTTATGGATGACTGATAATAAGAGTATTATTATTACAGCTATTTTCTAAATTATTAAAAATTTTTCAGACACAGTCAGACACAGTAATTCGGGCTGACTTATAGTGCCGGCCGGAATTATGAGTCATGGTTACACAAATTCCAAAAAAAGAAAATTTTGAATTTGCAAAAATCACAAAAAATATTTTTTTGTGAAATGGATATCGCACAAAAAGGAAATAATATCAAACCTTAAGCACGTAGGTTTCAACCCTAAGTGGTTTGACCAATCAAAAGTTTTTCCGCTTCTGTCACGTGCTCTAACCCTAAGTTTAGCCAATCAAAAGTTTATCTGCGTGATCACGTAATCAAGCAAAGGGATAAAAATTTAGCCGAGGGCGCAGTATTTGCTAACCCTAACCGATCCGAAAAAATTGTGGCGCAGTATGGGGTTGTATTACGTAAAAGGCCAGTCACGTAACTTTTTGCACGTGGCTGGCTGTTTTACGTTAGGTTACTCAAATCACGTGACAATTGTCAAATAATCTCTCCCCACCTGGGGTGAGACAATCAGTTGAAGTTAACGCAAACGATCTGCATGGCTAAGGTTGCTTGTCTAAACCTCTTCAAAATCCTACGATTAGTTTCGTCAAAATTTTACTATAGATTTATTATAGTTTCGGCAGAGTTTCGGCAGTTTCGGCATTTATAATAAGTTTCGGCAGTTTCACCTTTCTCCAAAGTTTCGCCAGTTTTTTAATATAACTTTAATATAGTTTCGGCAGAATTTCGCTTTTCGGCGAAACGCCATCTTGCCTAAACCCCTAGGTTTCGGCAAGCAACCTTAACCCAGGCAATGCCAAATAAAATGGAATGCCCTCAAACGAGGTTATGAAAATTTTAGTAGGATAATAAATAATAATGATGACGACATTCCTATTATAAGCCCAAATAGTTTCGATAGAGCGTGTTTTGCTNCAAGCAACCTTATGCATGGTGCAGTTTAGACGCAGCTAAAACTGCAGCTTTGCCGCAGTTTCACGTAATTTCGGATAAATATTACACCGGTTTCAGATAAATATTTAGCCGTTATAAATTTGGATTTGCTGAGACTCCAGTTGATCCAACCATTTTCACTTTTTTGTATTAATTAATTAAAATTAAGTGAAACCGCGTGTCATGCTACAAGCGACGCCAAGTTTCATTCTACAATAAAGTTTAAGGGGTTTAAGTTTCAAAGTATTTTTAATACTTCCAAGTTAAGTTAATAGTTTCCACATGGAACTTTCCTTGACGTAATATTCAGCGTTTACTCCTTTGATAGGTTTAGGCTCGGCTTTGCGTTTCATAATGTTTCGGAAGTTTAATTAACTTTTGCATGTGTATTTCTTCATACAATGAATGGCATGCCACCTTTAGAAATCATACGATTTTTGGTGCTTGGCAATAAAGTCCACATGTATGGACTTTGGGTTTTATTTGGAAAAGATTCAAAATTATAAGTTTCATTGATTTGTCGCAAGTATAAATAGGAGGAACGCGAACATAGACATCCAGTAGTTCACAGAAGTTGGCTGAATGACGTCGCTTGTTCAAATTCTGTTTTTTCTTTGCATTTTTTTATTCAAAAAATTTTGCAAATTGCCTAATCTAACATTGACCCTAACCCTAATCCTAACATGAATTCAAAACAACATATTTCATAGCAAAAATACCTGCAGCTGCTAATAAGTTTGATGATTCATCAGTAACACCAGTACTGTCAGTAACATCAGTATAAGCTCATTCATTTACATTCATATTAGAAGTGGTGTTATTGTAATTAAGGTAGTAAATTATGAGTAAAAATATCAGTGTTTTTATAAGGAATAGTTAGATAAAAAGAGTAAAAATGAATGAAATAACTTTATAAATACTTGTGTCAGTTAAAATGCTAAAGGAGGGAAAAAAAGTTTCGTAAGAAGGATAAAAAAGTTTCGTGGAAAGTATAAAAAAAGTTTAAGGATAAAAAGAAAGCGTAAGAAGAGATTTAATAATTATTACTTCATATCACGTGACATATCACATGACAAATGGATACTAGCGATGAATCGCATACGCGATAAATGATAATTTTCTTTTTTTAATATTTACATATTAAAATTTAAAATAATTTTAATCGAGGCCAAGCCTATACAATTTTAATATAACCCGAATACTAAATTTTAATATATAATTCTACGTTTTTTCATTTGAATTATCATCAAAACGTGAGATAATCGGATTTACAGTAGCTTCTAATATAGAAATGAAAGATTGTGTCCTCTCGGCATCGCCTGTTTCTTTAACATGCCAATACCTGTCACACATTCTTTCAGTTAATTCACCCACAGCAATTCTTCGATCTTCAGCTCTTTTCTGTTGCTCTGTTTGAACATATTCTATAAACGACTCTTGACTTTCATACACTTCAAATCCGCTTTCTTCAAAAATTTCACGAAATATTTGCCATACGTCAGAAGTCAACAATTTATTGCCATACATGTGTTCGTGAAAAATGTGTTTACACGGCACAGGTAAAACGCTGACCAATTGGGTATCTACCCGATTGGTAACTTTTTTTTGATCAGTCACCTGATTTATTCAATAGTTAGAAATTGGTGTACACTTCGATCAGATATCAATCAGATTAATACCCGATTGATAACTATCTTTTAGTTTAAATTTACCGATTGATAACTATCGTTTAGTTTAATTTACCGATTGCTCTCTTTAAAACAAATAGTGACCGATTGTTAGTAATATATAAATTTAAAACAAATTGTAATCCGATTGTTAGTAAATTATAAATTTATTTATCAGATAACTTATTTTAAACGTAAATGAACTCTGTTTTATTACAAATGAAATTGTCTATTAATTGGTATGACTGCCATATAAGTAGTTGGATTTCGTGTGCCAACTGTAAATTTGCTAGGTAAGAATCGACTGTATATGTTATGAATCGGCATGATGGCATCTCTAGATAATTCGTGGAAATCATATTTTCACAATTCAACGTTGCAACTTTTATCATTCCAATTGCCGATTCTGCAATGAAACCTTATTTTCTCATTTGGTGCCCATAAATACCAGTTGACAAAAGCGAGCCGATGCGTCTTAGGACCGATTGACAGCTGAACTGTATGCTTGAAATAATACTGAACATGACCAGGGTAAATATCTATAGACTCATCGTCCTGTATAAATTTGGCTAGAATATATGAACTTCTTTGATATCGGGGTGCACTTTTTGACCCAAAAATTTCGGCAGCAATCTGAATATGACCAAACTGGATTATGATTGGCAATACAACGATTGAT